CTTCTGGGCTTTATGCTCACCACATATGCGTCACTTCCCCATATGTACCTTTTTTCACCATTATATGCATCGATATGACTTAAGTTTTGGCCAAGCTGGGTTGCCTGACTCTTGTGTTTATGCCCTACGTTCCCGTTAATTTGGCTAGGGCATAAGGGGAGCACCTCTCCGATTGTTACTGCCGGGTCAGCCGGATGTGTACCTCTGACTGGATGAAGCCGAAAGCTAGCATTCTTAAGGGAATATTCGATCAGTGAACGAAAGATGTTTCTTACTTACTTGCAATATATGCCCCCAGACGTTTATATCTTGCATCGCTTTTCGCAGTTCGGACATGCACATTAATGCATGCATACCCAGGGAAAGGAACCCTTAACGGAACTATTCTCCCTGGAAGATGTTTCTTACTATCCATGTAATATAACATAGCTAGTTGGGTACTTGTCTGTTCAAGCACTTATGACCCCTACGCCTGGTTTCCACGCATACCCCCGCTTTTACATAACTGAGCGGGTATTCGGATACACTCCGGACTGTCGGGTCCGGAGGTTGAAGCGAAAAGGTCCGCCATGACAAATGATTTACAATCCGGCTAGGGACAAAATATGTCATTTGAACTACACAGTCACTTAGACTGACTGAATAAAGGTTCTTCGCCGAACTGTATAAAGTTTCGTTCGAGCACTTACTAAAAATGCCGTGTCGAAGCCTCTTATTCTCCTTCACGGAGTCAGCAAGCTGGGCCCGAACATCTTTTAATTCGACGCCCAGCCGGGTATTCGCGTCCTGGAGATCATTTTTCTCCCGTATAACCTTTGTAAGCACGCGCTCGCCAGCCTTTAGCTATCGTTGAGCATGTTTCTCATCCTCCGATACGATCTCCAGATTACCTCCGGGATTGTCTGCAGAATCTATTGTTAGATTTGCATGCATGCCGAATACTAACTGGTATATGTCAATACATTCTTTTCGATCAAGATAAGTATTACCAGACGAGGCCTTCTTGGACTCCTCCATTCCGGCAACTGCGGCCCGTAGCTGGGCTTTGCACTCCTCCAGCTCTTGAGAAAACTGGGTATTCTTCTTCGTGAGAGCCTACGCATACAATGATTCTTAAATCAGTTGCGCCAATTGTTTCAAGTCTCAGGGGCTACTGATATACATAATTATCAAAATTTCTTACCTGTATGTCCTTTACATACTGGTCTGTGGCTCTGGCAAGGCCATCTTGAGCAACTCGGATGTACGCATCTCCTGAGTTGAAGGCATTGAACGCCTCTTCGGAGAAACTATGGTCACGGAGTATGGCCCGGTGGCGCCTGTGATTCATGGCGCTCTCCACTTCAGAATTCGTAGCGGACAGTCTATCTGTATCCTCTATAGGAGGACCATCCGGCGTCGTCCCCGCGTTAGCCTCTGCCCCTAAGTCCGATTCTGGAGTCCGGCTGGTGGAGGCGTGGCCAGCAGGCTCTCCGGACACAGTTCGGCGAGCATTTTTTTGCCAGGAACCACAAACATTATTATATTTTAAAGATGATAATCACGGAGCAAGGTTTTAATCATACCTCTGTGATGGCATCTCAGTCCTAACCGCCTTCCTTTTGAGCCTACCCGACTTCGGTGCCCCTTGTTGACGAGTCACCGCGGGTTCGGCACGGCGCCCCGATGGCCTTCCCTGTAAGACACAATATATGTGTGGTGGGTAAGATGCAAAGAAGGGATCCTTCTCGGAAGTTGGGACTCCGGTTTTACTTACATGCGATGCAGGGAGTAGGCCAGGGTAATCGGCTATGATGGCCACCAAGACACCATCACGACTTAGCTGATAGAACGCCCTGTCGATAAGCTCCACAAATACGTTCGGATCTTCTTCGAGTCAGGGGTCGAGGGCCCGGTCGGGGTCCTCTGGCTGTGGAGACGGGCTGTGGACCTCCCTCATAGCTTTTCGCAGTTCCTGCTATGAATTGGCAAGGTAAATATTTGTGATGAAGAATGTGAGAAAGACTGGAATAGAAGATAGCAGCTCACCCAGCTTGGGGGGTTGTACATGGAGAATCCATCCCGTGGCTTAATACGGATGAACTCCTCTTCTTTTCCTTTGTACAAATCGGATAGTATTTTCGCCAGAGCTGCGGCGGAGTCCGGACCTTTACGGCCGCAGCGGGTGGCGTCGTCTTCTCCATTGAAGTGCCACATGGGTTTCCCCCGATATTGAAGTGGCTGCACTCCCCGCATTATACATATTGACATAACCTCAATTATTGTCAGTCCTGATTTGGCCAGCGTCTTTATCCTGTCCATTAGGAAAAGGACCTCTATGTTATCTTCCTCCTGGGGGCTCCGGGGGCGCCAGCTGTGGCGTTTCTTCAACGGGGCATTTGCAAACTCAGGAAGGCCCATCCGAATAGGGTCCGGAAGGGGGACGTCCTCCATATAAAACCACTCCGAGGGCCAGTCTTCGAATGTCTTCTTCGAAGTACCGGACAGGTATCCGGTCCCGGCGATGCGCCATATTTCGGCTCCGCCCAGTTGATATATCGACCCCTCCTGGGTGCGGGGTACGAGGCAGAATAGCCTCTTCCATAGCTCGAAATGAGCTTCGCAGCCCAGAAATAGCTCGCAGAAGGCGACATAGCCCGCGATGTGTAGTATGGAGGCAGGAGTGAAGTTATGCAGCTGGAGGCCGTAGAACTCCAGGAGCCCGCGGAGGAACGGATGGATTGGAAATCCGAGTCCCCTCAGCAAATAAGGGACAAGGCATACCCGCTCCCCCTTGGATGGGTTGGGAGAACTCTCCGCTTGCTCCCCGCCATTATAAGTGGCTAGTCCGGCTCGGACGGGGACCATGTACGCAGGTGGGAGAAACCCCTGGGTCTGCAACTCTACCAATCGGCTATGGGGGACTGAACACTTCTCCAAATCACCTGGCTTAGTGCTACGGGAGCGAGAGGAGGAGCTGCGACGGCCGGCCATGATGAGATGGCTTCTTTCGGGCGTGCTCTGATGAATACTCGCTGGTGGAGGATGGTGTGATTTGGATCTGAGGATCCCCGTCTCTTTAAATAGACGATTTACTTACATGTCCAGGGTAGCAAATGTAAAAATGCCCTGACTTCTCGCATTCGCTCGACACGTGGAGATAGCCATTATTAAAGCACAGAAGCTGAGGAGAGCAACATTAATGGGAAGCCGGACACTACTCGTTACAACAAGTACTCAGGGATTTTGGAGAAGAACCCGCCTTGCAATGCCGAAGACAATCTGCGCGCTGGACTCATCGTCATTGAATCCTGGTTCGGGGGCTACTGAGGGAGTCCTGGATTAAGGGGTCCTCGGACAGCCGGACTATATACTTTAGCCGGACTGTTGAACTATGAAGATACATGATTAAAGACTTCGTCTCGTGTCCGGATGGGACTCTCCTTTGCGTGGAAGGCAAGCTTGGCAATTTGGATATGTAGATCTCCTTCTCTGTAATCGACTCTGTGTAACCCTAGCCCCCTCCGGTGTCTATATAAACCGGAGGGTTTAGTCCGTAGGACAACAACAATCATAACCATAGCCTAGCTTCTAGGGTTTAGCATCTATGATCTCGTGGTAGATCAACTCTTGTAATACTCATATCATCAAGATCAATCAAGCAGGAAGTAGGGTATTAGCTCCATCGAGAGGGCCCGAACCTGGGTAAACATCGTGTCCCCCGCCTCCTGTTACCATTAGCATCAGACGCACAATTTGGGACCCCTTACCTGAGATCCGCCGGTTTTGACACCGACAGAGGCGGCTGCGGGCTTCACCATGGAGGATGCCATGCGAAGTTCAAAGTCTCCCAAGCGGAGGAGATGGCGGAGCAGACCGCCATTCTGGAGTTCATCCAAGATGAGTCTGCGGCGGCGGCCAACGGGCGCTTCATCCGGCAGCAACGGACAAAGATTGGCGAAATATTCGCCTCCAGTGACTCGGACGGCGAGCCAGAGTTCCCTCAGTTGCCCATCTACTCGGAGTCGGGCACTGAGATCGTCGATACCTCTGACGATGAGTAGATAGGATACGTATGCAGTACATATGTTTTTTATTCTGCATGACGGTATGGATTTGAGGTACATGAATGTAGGAACGATTTTTATTGTGTGACCGGTCAGTGCATGTGGACGCGGTTGGACGCGACCACGGGGCGTATAGGTGCCCAAATTAGATGACCAGGGCTGTAGATACTCTAGCAACTATGACCAAAAGCAAACTACGCGTGCAACAATGAAACAAATTATGCCGCATTCGTCTAGTGTTGTTCATTTAGCTCCATATACATAGAGGATACTTCATGGCAATTAACAATGAAACAATGCCCTAAACAAACAGAGAAAATTAATAGGGCCATATAATTCAAGACGCAAGACAATAAAGTAGCACAATTAAGAAACAAATTTGTAGTACAATACTACAATACGTTCTAAAACGAGCACAGCCAATGGCTTATATAGCTACAAAGTCTAGTAGGATCAGAATATTCCAACATACTAATTATGAAGCCTAGGACTATGCCGTGCGCACGACAACTTTTATTAAGAGCATTTCCTACAACTTCTCATGGTTCTTCCTTGACAACTTTCCATCCATTGTTCGTGTCCTGCCACCAAAGAATATATTAGATGTGAAGGAGAGGGAAAAAAGTGATGTCGTATTGAAATAAAAAGATGAGAAATGCAGATCCATGTGTACATGCACATGCTGTTGGCGCCTGTCCAAAGTAATTGTTGCGCGCGCACTAATTAGATTTCAGCGTACATTCATAAACTTGCGCGTTTTCAGTTTTGAGATAGCTTACTACATGTGTCATGGGGTAAACTTGCGTATATTTTAATTATATACTTTCATGTATGAAACACATTGAATGCAGGAACGCCTGGTCTTATATTAGGACTCCTATCAATTGACACATGATGGTTTTTGATTTCAGAAAGGGCACTAAATTTACCTCCTTGACGAGAACCACCCTCGTGCTATGCCTGCTGCAGTGCGACAAGCCTAACCATCCCAGCGATTGGCATGTCCATCTAACAAATGTATGAAATGGAAATGTTATAACTCAGTCAAACCAAAAGGCGATATTATATATATAACATACTGCATGAAAAAATCGAGGTTTTACATTGACTCCACCAAGGCGCTGTCCTAAGAACTCCTTTATAGTTCTGACCGGAACAGCGTATACAGACGCACGTGAAGCTCCGCCAAGCACCCCAACTACCTCGTTTACATTTGCCAAAATAATAGGTGAACCTGATGTCGCTTCCTTAGATGAACAACTACAGTGAAGGTGTGGTTCATCTGGTTCATTGCTGCAATAATAAACATTCTAATTAGCCCACAACGCTGATAAAATAGGGACAAAAGGAATATAGCTAGTGTTGGAAGATTTGTATTACGTTATGTCACCAGAAAAGGTCCCTGGTTCTAGAATAGGATTGGATGAAGCACCCAATGAGATAAAAGAAAGTGCGACAACACTCCATCCAGAAGCATACGGTGAGTCAAAGAACCTCAAAGAAGTCATTGGTTCCACCACCTCTTCAGCCCACAGCAAAGCAAGATCCCGGTGCTCATCGGTATACAATACTCTTGCATTGTATGGGGCGACACTGTTGGAGAAATAAGCATACATGGTTCCACCATCTTCAGCTATCTTAACGACATGTTGACATGACACTATGAGACACCTCGTTTTACTGTGATAGACAATAAAGCCATTGCCACGAAAATCATTTCCAGCAACAGAATGCAGACGCACCACGGAGAACTCATGTTCTCTAAACACCTGCTCACGCCAGCGAGCTTCATCCACGACATCAGACATGTTTAGGTGTCAACCTGTACAAAAAAATACATTCCGGTGAACAATTCATTCATATTAAAGTTAAACGCGCATGATGTATGTGTGAATCGGCTTGCCGATGGCACGACATCTGCACTACCGCTACCTAGGTAGGTGGTGGTATACTCTATACTGACATGCAACTTGGCAAGGGCACGAAAACGGGTGACTTGCAAGAGCACAAAAGCCAGCGGCTTGGCAAGACCGCAAGATCGCACTGCTGTGCATACTGCTGGATCCATGCGTGAGCTAGCTCCTGGTTGGAGCGGTGCCATGGTAAGCCATGGTTTGCACTACAACGACTCTATCTAAGGCTGTAGCACCTGGTGCTAGCTAGGTGGTGTACTGACATCGCAAAGCCGGCGACTTGGCAAGAGCACGTACGGTGCTTCGCATATTGCTCCATACATGTGTGTGGGCTAGATCTGAAGTGCGGGCAGAGCAGGGTTGGGGAAGGGGGGAGGAGAGCACGCGCAGGGCCGCTCACCGGGCGTTCTCTATCAGTGGTGCCATGCCATGGTCGTCCATGGTTCTAGATCCTGGTCGATCGATTTGCTACTTCCTGACTACTGACTAAGCACATCGATTAGGACTTCCTGACTACTGACTAAGCACACATCGATTAGGCGTACACGGCCAGGGACTTACCAGCACAGAATCGTCGGAGGCGCACGCGGTGCCGGCGGCCGGACGGAAATCTCGTGGCGCAGAGCCGGCTGGACTGGAGAGATGTGGGGGGGACGGAGCTTAGCACTACCTAAAACAGAGGAATGGTGCATTATTGGCAGACGGGTGGATGGGGAGATATGGGGAGGCTCCCGGCCGGCCAGATTCGCTCAGCGGTGTGGTACCGGGGCGGCAAGGACGAGCAGGTGGAGAGAAGCTGAATAAGGGCGGGCGGGGTACTGCACCGGCTAAAGCCCTCTCCATCCTTTGCCGCTTCGGGAAGACGAGTTATGACAAGAGGCCCCCTCCTTTGACCACCAATGATTGAGATTTTTCACCTAAATGCAATTTCAGCCAACTCCAACACAACGATCCAAACAGGCGCTCGTTTTATCCAATTTTTGTCCGTTTTGGTCGCCGAGTGGTGCCACTATCTGCTTTTTAGTTTAGGTCTGCCCATCGTCCAACGGGTGGCCGACGCATTTTTCCGCGTCCAAAAAACAAATTCAAAAATATGTAGTCGAAATAAACATAATAAATGGCCGGTCAACCGCCGGCCAAAATCCACTTACGCATTAAATAAAACTTCAATAAACTAAAAACACGCTCGCCCGCTGCTTTAGGCTTTGTCGTCGCCCTTGCCGTTGTCATCGCCGGTGAGGTCGATGAAGGTCGGCGGCACCACCCATGGGAATGCGCTCTCCCACACCGTCAGTGTCGCCTCCTCCGATGTCTACTCCGGCGGCGGCATTTCTATGCAACCGGCGCCCTCCTCCTCCTCCTCCTCCTGCTCGCGGCGCTCCTCCTGCTTGCACTCGATCTGCTCCTAGTGCTCGCCGGCGTCCCGCTCGTCCACCAGCCAGTGCTGCCTCCAACGCTCGAGTAGGTCACCTCCTCCTCCGGTGGCGTGTCCATGTAGACGGTAGGCGCGCTCACCCACTCGCGCACAATGCCGGTCCACCCGTACCTCTCCTCGGGGCATGTGGGCATTGTGGCGCGCGCGGGGGCCTCCTCTGTGTCAACCTTGGACTCGAGGACGGGCGGCCGCCGTGGCAGGGAGGGGGGTAGAGCAGGGCGTGGATGGAGTCCCCAGCCGCGGACAACGCGAGGGCCTCCTCCATGCCCTTCCAATGCGCGTCCTGGTCGCGCCTACTCGCCTCCATGGCGCGCTGTGTGGCCACCTCCTCCTCTTCCTCCTCCGGCTTAACCTCTCGGACAACGGCACGTAGCTGGGGTCGAGCTGCACGCCGTCGCGGCGGGCAACGTGG